AAAAAAAAAAAAAAAAAAATTGGTACCTTTCTTTGTTAGCTCTTGTCCACCAAAGATTAAGGTCTGTGATACACACATATATTAATTTCTGCAACAAATTGCGAGGAAATAGTTAATAAGAATATCGATTATGTCCATGTTCCACTGAAAAGAACAATCACACAGGGATATGCAGGGATGAAGGGGAAGCCAGAAAATATTATCCATATAAATACATATTCAATTTAAGGAATTATCCTATTGAAAAAGTATATTAAACATTTGTTCAAGACTATCAGTGGCTAATATAAAATGGGAGCATTCCTCTTGAAATCCCACACAAGACAAGGATGCTCATTCTCACCACTTCTATTCAACGTAGTGTTGGAAATTCTGGCCAGGGGAATCCAGCACCAAAAGGAATAAAGTGCATTCAAATAGTAGGAGAGAAAGTCGAACTATTTTTATTTTCAGACGACATGATTCTATATCTAGAAAACCCCATTGTCTCATCGCAAAAGCGTAAGTTGATAAGCAACTTCAGCAAAGTCTCAGGATACAAAATCAATGTGCAAAAATCACTAGCATTTCTAAAGGTACTAAAATAATTTTAACAAAATATTAATAACATTTGTTTTAACCCAAAGTATAAAGTAAATATCCAAGAGTACATATTAATATTAAGAAGTGATTTAATAACTAAGACAAATGTGGGAAAATAGACAAGTATCCCTCAAAGAATAACTTGAAACACTTGTGATTCCCCCTTTTTCAAATCAGTGAACCTTAAAACTCCTCACTTGAGTGTGGCCTGCACTTAGAATATGGAAAACTTACGGTGATGGCTTTGGATTGAGCAGTGAGTTTTTAGATATAATACCAAAAACACCACTCAAATATGAAAAAAACACCACTCAAATATGAAAAAACACCACTCAAACATAAAAATTTAAGTTTTTATGTGAAAAAAATAAAAAGACGCTGTGTTAAGCAAATTTTTTAAAAGCCACAAATTTGGAGAGAATATTTGAAAATTGCATGTTCGTTAAAGAACTTGTAGAGAGAATATAGTAGGATTTTCAAGACAGAACAGTGATAAAACAAGAGGATGTCCTATCCTCTTATGTAGCCAGTGGGCCACATTTTCTATGGGGAGACATTCTGGAGGAGCTGAATGCAGGCTAGCTTCTCTGTCTGGTGACTTCAAGGTAGCATAGGTGTGGTATGGGCATCCACATCCACATACCATTTTATGCATTCCCCAGATGTGATGGAGAATGTCCTTCCAGATGTCAGTCACTGCCAAAGAGGGCAGCCAACCACCATCCAATCCTGTGCTTCTCATGTAGTAGCCCTGAATCCTAGCTGCTCCAGCTGTGACTCAATGGGGCCAAGGTACAGCTCAGGCCATGGCTTCAGAGGGTTCAAGCCTGAAGCCTAAGCAACTTCCACTTGGTGTTGAGCTTGTGGGTGTACGGAAGTCAAGAATCCAGGTGTGGGAGCCTCCACCTAGATTTTAGCAATGCATTAAAATGCCTGGATGTCCAGGAAGAAGTTTGCTGCAGGGTTGGGCACTCATGGAGAACATCTGCTAGGGGAGTGCGGAAGGGAAATGTGGGGTCGAAGCCCCCATACAGAGTTTCCACTGGGGCTCTGCCTAGCGGCACTGTGAGAAGATGGTCACCATTCCCCAGACCCTGGAATGGTAGATCCACTTACAGATTGCACCATGCACCTGGAAAAACCACAGATTCTCAATGCCAGCCTGTGAAAACAGCCAAGAGGACGGCTGTACCCTGCAAAGTCACAGGGGTGGAGCTTCCCAAGGCCATGGGAACCCACCTCATGCATCAGCATGACCTAGATGTGAGACAGCATCAAAGGAGATTATTTTGGAGCTTTCAGATTTTACTGCCTTGCTGAAATTTGAAGTTACATGTTTGCCTTTGGCCCTTTCATTTTGGACAATTTCTCTTAATTGGAATAGTTTCATGAAATGTGATGGCTTCAAAATTACGGGACTTTGCCTGCACAAGCTCTCTTTGCCTTCTGCCATCCATGTAAAATGTGACTTTCTCCTCCTTGCCTTCCACCATGATTGTGAGGCCTCCCCAGCCACATGAAACTGTTAGTCTATTAAAACTTTTACATTTGTAAATTGCAGAGTCTCTGTTATGTCTTTATCAGATGTGTGAAGAAGGTTTAAT